CTAACGAATTGTTCTAGAAGTTGGTCATCTTCTTCGTAATCGTCGTCGTCGGTAGTGTGATGTTCCATTTTGATGTCACAGAACGTATGGAAACCGAGCGGGTCATCGTGCGAACCATTTGAGGCGTCACCCTCACTCTTGTGCGCACGCGTCTGTTGTCTGGGACGACGGCTGTCGTTTATGAAACTCATCGGTTCGAAGTAGGCCCACTTGCTGCGTATTTCTATGGAACTGTCATGGGTGCCAGAAGCTCTTAAACGTTCTACACGACGCTCAATGCGACGCACTTCGGCGCGATAGGCATCGCGTAGATTTTTCCATTTGCGCTTGCAAGAGTCCACTTTCGGTGGAAGTGTTGAGGGGGAGGAGAAAATAAAGAAATAAATAAATTAGTGCGTATGGAAAAAAACAAGTACATATGTATGTAATTTCTAAAATATTTTCTTAATTCTAAAACTTAAGGGATTAAAAAAAATAAGAACCAAAAGTCGCAAGTTCCGATTTACATAACTTAATTTAATGATGATCGCATAGCCCATAGTTTTTTCCAGATTTTCATGAATTTTAAGCTTTCACTCAAGTGTGATTCTTTGAATTTTTGCAAGTCTGTTGCTGGTTTTGTCGTTTTTTGAATCGAAACGATTATTAATTTGAACTAGAGTTATCTTTTCAGAATCGATTATATGTATGAAAGATCGATAAATCTATGTCTTCGAAAGTAGAACTCTTCGAAATGGTTTTGTAATTTTAAATGCAGAATCACAGAAACATCCGACCACATACTGAGGTTTATCGATTTCACCAAATTGATCATGTTCAAGCGTGCGTCGCAAGGCATATTTCCAAATTTTACATTCAAATGTACGACCCGGGGAGCAAACATAGACTTGGTCCACTGTCTTCTTGCAGCCAAGATTCGCACACCCCTCTGTAAAGCAAAAAACTGTGCTAGTAGCAGCAAAGGGAAGATTCAACGTTGACAAGCTAATTTAAAACAGACAGTTATATATGACTAAAACATGGAATTTAAAAAAATTCGAAATAAAAAAGATCAACTGTTATTCCATTCGGAGTGGGCTTAAAAGATGCGAAATGAGTGAAAGTTTTTTAGGTAAAAGTTTCAAGAAAGTCGATCAGTTTTTTTCAAAATCAACATTTTATATTACAAGTTTTAAAACTTTTTGGAAATTCGGTTTTGAAAAAGAAAATACTGTCAAAAAAAGTCGCAATAACCCAATTTTTGTACAGTAATGGGCATTTAAAAATGATGGCTTTTTAAAAAATCTCTATCTCCAAAACGGATGTACGAAAAAATGTAAGTGCGCCCTGGCCACACTGGAGAAGCGAAACTTAGGTTACATATCGATTTTGTCTCATAACCAATATACATACATATTTACATACATACATCTGCTTTTGCGTCAGGTTATATTTTTTGCCTTTTTTATCTAGATCCCCACTTCTACCCCTGTTCGTTCTAATTACATTTATATTATTCTGTTTTCCTTTATCTTCATTTTCATCTTTTTACTCTATCGATAACAAAGTCAATAGTAACATCCACCAAAATATCGATAATAAAACCGATAAAAATATCGATATTAAAATCAATGACAATTTTGATATAAATTTCGGTAGCAAAATCGATAATGTTGGTAGCAAAATCTATTCGAAAATCGATTAAAATATCGATAACAAAATCGATAAATAATCGACAACCAAAATCGACAAAAAATACCGATAATAAAATCTATAAATAACCGATAACAAAATCGATAACAATAGCAATAACAAAATCGATAAAAATATCATTAAAAATTCGTTTAAAATATCGATAACAGCATCGATAACAAAATCTTTAAAAATATCGATTACAAAATCGACAACAATATCGATAGCAAAATCGATATGTCCCGAGAGTGCCGAAAATCTCTCAAATCTCAAAATAGTTCCTAGATTGAGTCTCTGTGTCTATCTACGTATATCCTTTTCTCTATAATTACCTTTATTTTAATCTTTCTTCCTCTATACTCGTACTTTTATCGGTGTCCGCATTTACATTATTTTCTTTAAATTTATCTTTGTTTTTACTTTTATGGCTATCATTTTCTTCATCTACATATTCTCCTTTACCTTTGCCCTTATATAAGTAAAGTAATTTAATTTACCTTGGTCTTAATTTTTGCCTTTATATTTACGCATCTTTGTTTTTCTTTTTATTTGTACCTTTGGCTTTATCATTTTCTTTATCTTTTTCTAAGTGTTATTCTTTAACCTTTTATTAGCAAGTTTTTTGTTAAATTCATATCATGTGCATACATCAAGAATCACTTGTTTCAGCCCCAACCAACCAACTGCCGCTAAAGAAGTTTCACTTCAACAAGTAAGGACAGTGCTGTCTTCGACTATGCCGAAGGCTTCTTACCTTTCATGAACATCAGAAAATTTTACTTCAACCGATTACTGTGTTTTAAATTAGTTGTTTCGGATCTAACCAAAAATTTTACCTCCACTGCATACATAGATAGAGGAGCTACATATATAAAAAATCTCTTAGGGCCAAATTCACAGTCCGTAGTTAACCATTGATAAGAGTTTAACTATTGATTTTCATATTCACAACGCTCAGTTAACAAAAGTTTAAACCAGCATGCCCCCATAGTTAAACTCTTGTGAAATACTTTTTTTTTTGTGGAACGAATTTCAAATTTGAATAGAAAAGTATTGATTTTTAGAATTTGTATATTTTCAGGCGATACGAATTTCCATAGTTAACTATGTGACTCTGAATATAAATTCATAGTTAAACTCTTGTTGGTGGCTAAGTTAACAATGGTTTAACTAAGCACTGTGAATTCGGCCCTTACATGAACAATCAGTGGTATGGAAGATATACCTTATAAAGCACAGATCTAAATGGTTTTCACTACTGCATATTATCGATATGTAAACTGGATACACAATTTAATGGTTTCATCTGCCAACTTAAAGGAGTTATATCTCAAAAACTTGTATCTGAACAATGAGTGATATATGAGATATAGCTTATACAGCACCGATCCTGAAATTTCTCTGTAGACTTTGTATGACTATTTCGAAAATAGCGCACGAAATTGCTCGGTTCAAGCCCCGTATTTGAAAAATCAGTTGAATGGTAGCTAAATATGTATTTGTGATAGTGACCCGATCTTCGTAATTTTAACTGTAAGATTTATGTTGACAATGAGTGAATAGTTGGCTGCATAAATGGAGGAGTTTGTAACAAAAAATCTCATATCTGAACAATCAGTTGTATATGAGGGACATGTTATAGTGGTCCGGTTTTGGTGGTACCGAAAAATGATTAATGCCTTATAAAATTACAACCGCTTACTGTACTTATTACTGTAAACGAGCAATTAGTGTATATATATATTAGGGTGGTGCAAAATAACTAACCTAGCGAATTTATGGCGTTAAAATGACCTATGTATTTACTGAGAAGGAAATTCTTCCATTTCGCAAAATATTTATTTCAATTTTAAAAGGTGTCGGTGGGCATTTGAAGTTTTCTATGTAAATAACATGTAAAAAAATTTGTTTTCATTAAAAATGTTATAACTTTTGAACCGTTAAAAAAAGTTATAGAAAAGGGATACACGTTTTTTTGTAGGGCATTAAATTCTCAAAAAAATTACCCCGAAGTTGGTTGTCTTTGAAACGATTAGGAGTATTAAATATGTTAATGATATTGCTGAACGAGGCATAGCGTTGATACAAAATTATAATCGAACTTTGACGAAAGACGAAAAACAAAAGCAATTTCTTTTGCAATTAATACAATTACCATAAAATAATTTAAAAATAAATAGTCAAAACTTGTTAATATGTGGCGGTCTTATAATCATGCAACGCAGTGTATTATTAACTTGTTTGACTTGTGTTTAGAGAAACTTTCAATTGTTAATTTATTTGTTATTTATGTGTCGAAATAAATACATAATAAAAAAATACATTATAAAAAAATGTTTGTGTTTTTAATGTGGAGAGTTTGTCCTCCTGGAATGTTAAAAAATTCTGGTCACCTTAATAGTACGCAAGTATATGTAAGCACTTCAGGCAAACGTGTAAAAATTTCCCTAAATACTTACAAAAATAAAATACAAAAAACTATAAAATTCGGCTGCGTATGCTAAAAATATACACACATACACAGAATTTTTTGGTTCTTTTTTGCACAACAATCAAAATAAACTTTTTCAAGCTCACACTTTTTCGCTTCTTTCGTCCATTTTTATGAATGAACTGCGCAAATTGCACTTACATAAATATGTAATTATATATGTACCTAAGTGCAGACAGACAGTTGTTTGTGTGTATTTGAATAAACTGATACTTTTTAATCTTCAATCAAACACAACTGTACTTGTCTCGTACAAACTTGCTACGCTCCCTTTCCCCCCTTAAATCTAAAGTTCAATACTTATTTAAGCAACTGGTGCATATATGTAAACTTACCATCTACTCCCAGAATTGTCGCAATTTCAGTCCATTGTTGTGGTGTATTTGTCCTATCCTTGTACTGCCCGTATCGTACATCCCATATAATAGGGCGTGACTTCACTTCTTCAATTAACTGCCGTACATCCAACTCGTCTGGCATTTTTTCCGTTACTAAAAACTTTTTTTCGCAATGTGATGTCACATGCCGGCTAGCGATTTCGTTTCGTTATAACGAAATCAACAAAGAGCACACGACGATAACAACAGCGAAAGCCGCTGCATAACGAAGCGAAATTCTAAATACTCACAGGAGAGCAAAAAGAGAGAGTTCGTTTAGATAGGGAAAAACAACAGGCTTCTCAGCCAGACAAAGAGATATGTATGTATGTATATATGAATTTATGTACATATGTAGGCTACGAGGCAGCCGGTCATAAAAGTAAAAGTGGTTAACAGGGCTGCCAGCTGTACTTAGCTGTGAGGTGCCATATTGAGGATAAAAAAGTGTCAAAATGGGTCAAATAGAAAAATAAATGTGCCATTCTTTTTAATCCTTCCTATTTAGTAGTAAAAGAAGGGCCAAATTTTCAAAACAAAAGTGCAATGATAAAATGAGATAAAAAATTGAAAAATTTTAGTTGAGAAAAAGATGTACACGCAAAGGATTTTACAAAAATGTGTTGATTGTATTGTATGTATTGATGGCACTTGGTGTCAAATTGAAAAATTAACTGCCATTTGGAATAAACAAGGGCCAAAAATGGCAGGGTTTGAGCGAAGTTGGCAGCCCTGGTGGCTAAACGTGAACAATTGGGTATAACAAGACCAGTGTTGCCGCGACATGTTTATTGTTTTGGTAGCCAAAGCCATCTTAAAAAGGATTAAAAATAGCTGAAAAGAATTCGATGTGGCTAAAAAATTTAGCTAAAATTTTTTTACTTATACAGGATGGGCCAAATAAGACCTACCATAGTCTGTCTACAGTCCCACAATCTACCGGTATCTATAACATGCAGAAAGAAAATAACAATAATATTAAACAAATAAAGAAGTTATACGCGTTTAACATTGGTATGTCTTATTTGGCCCACCCTGTATATACATATGGAAGTGTATAGGAACCCATTCCAGTTTATGCGTATATGTGCATTGAGTAACGCACAAAATTAAATAACAATAATGATGCAAAAAAATAAAAAAACATTTATTCCGTTTTCTTTTCTCAATTAAAATATTGGCTCAATATATGGCAACATTGTGTAGATATAGATGACACTGGGCCGAATATATGCAACACTATTGAAATGAAATTAATGAAAATATATAATTTTGGTCATGCCACGGATGAAGGGCTAAAAAAGGGCTAGTGGCAATTTTGAAATTTAGTAGCTAAAAAACGTAAAGGGTCGCCAATTCTAGTCAGCAAAGGACTTAAACGGCAACACTGAATAAGACTCTGCATAGCAAAATGCATGAATGTATACACATACATATAGTATAGGTACAGTATATTGCGTTTAGCTATCTATTCACTTAAGTGCATTTTTGGCTAGTGTACACTATTTTGCCAAAATACTACTTCACAAAATGGGTTTTGTACGATAATTTCAATTATTATTATTTCAATTCAAAATTATATTTGCTTACAACATTTCTATGTATCTCTTTTTGCGAACCTGGTACAGGTTTTGATATCAGTAGATGAAGATCCAGAAGAACATAATATTGCTCCCAAAGCTTTGGAACATTTTTTTCAAAACAATTCGAAACAAATGTTCAAAATGGAAGAAATTACTATCAAATATTCAAAAACAAAAATAAAAATCGCAAAGTTACCAATTTTTTTTTATTAACTTTTAGTTGCTTGTTTATATGTTTACATGCTACTTACTATAGAACCTTTTTGCAGAAGCGATGCTACGAACCCATATAAATGGTGTTTCTGTTTAGCTAGACATTTCGCTTAAATGCAACAAATCGTGTGCAGTTGCGTTAAATGCAGCTAAACGGAACATACTGTACTTACAACATATGTCAGTCTTAGGGATGTACATTTTTCGGCTTTTTCCGATCGCGGGATTTTCTGGATGTCGTTAACAGCATGTCGGGATTCCGGGATTAGTCCCGGGATTTAGATAATCATTACTTTTCATTAACTTAAATCGAAACAAATTTAGAAGGACGAAATTCGAGGATGTTATCGAGTTTATATGAGTTCTTAACATATAATTTTTTCAAAAACAAATATTGCGAAATTTTAAGGATACAATTTGAAAAGGACATTTTCAATACTTAGTACCAGTCCTTCTGCACCAGAAACTTGAATCTCTTTAAATTCTACAGGATTTCCGCTTTAATTTGATACCCATACTTCTTCTATAAGCACATTTCTCTGAATTTTTTAAATCATTTTTGAATTACTAAACGTCAGAGTGAAAACTAAAAACGCAATTTTATTACATTTGGTCCTCGGTTTCGCGAATATATTGATATTTGTGTTGAAAATTTACCACCACGCGGTACGAGGCAGACATTTATAAAAAAAATATTAATTATTAAATAAAAAAAGAACTGTAGCCAATACTGGTCAAGAAAAGGAGTTTCTATTATTGCCATCAGTGAATTTCAAATCCCGAAAATCCCAGGATTATTGGCCAAGAAACCTGGGGATTTTTTGGGATCTTAAAAAAGTTGAGATCCCGGGATTAACATTCCTAGTCAGTTTGAAGCAGCAAAGGGCACTTACATATCCAGTAAAAGGTAGAGGGTAGACGAAAACGCGCAGCAAATTTAGCAACGCAGAAAAGTTCATATGTACTTACATACATATTACAAAAAAAAAATAAAAATGCACATGCACATGTACACATATCGTACTTTTGCTGTAAGCGTGTGATAATCAAAAAATTCTTAATTTGAGTTAAGCATACAGAAATGTTGTTCCATGTTGTGTAAACATTTCATAGCTGTATTGATAAACAATATCTCAAAAGTATAAAATGTGTATTAATTTCTACCATGGAAGCGTATGCAAACTCCTAATTTCCAAGTAGTATTTCTCGAGTTTTTAATTTTTTGTATTATGACTTTCTTGCAGCAAAGGTATGATGTGTATCTGTTAAGCACGTCCTTGGCACCTCCACCGGTTGTAAGATTTTGCTATCAGGTTTTGTTTTGGTTGGTTCATTCGCAAATTGCTTTATTTACTACTTGCCTGTAGGAATATCGACTAGGATGAATCATCAAATTAATATGTATGCAAATATATCTATACAAAATAACGAATATATACATGCGGGGTGGAGAGATGAAGAAAGATGGCAACTACGACAAAATTGGGGTAGAACGATGATGCAAGGAAGAAGTGTGAACAACGACGAGCGAGTTAAGACGCAGATCGTTGTACAGACGGTTCGCTTTTAAAGACGTACATATTTATTTGTGTAATAATACTGGACTTTAACTTTCAATTTCATTTGCGTAAATTCTAAATAAATACAACTACTTTACTGGTACTTTATTCTGATACCGATAAACGTTGAGTGAAGAAATACCAAATACATATGTACATATGCATGGACGAACATTAGACCGTATCTGAAATAAAGTTCGCCGTACACCCCTCAGTCTAAATATTTCTGCAAGGCAATTTCGTTTTTTTTTTGAAGTGAAACTTCTTTAGCGGCGGTTGGTTGGTTGAAAGTAAATTGGCATATTCAACGGAAATTGCACACGGAAATGGTGCAACGGAAATGGTTGGGACGGAAACAAGTGCCTCTAGAATGTATGTTATTAATTTAACAAAAACTTGCTAATAAAAGGTAAAAGAATAACACTTAGATTGAAAGACCAATATAAGAATGAAAGTAAAGGTGAGTACGCACATAAATAAAGAAAAGGATAAAGGCAAAGGTAAAAATAAAAACAAAAACATAGGTGCGTAAAGATAAAGGCAAAAATTAAGACAGAGATAAAATTAAACACTTTACTTATATAAGGGCAAAGGTGAAGGGGAATATGTGGATGAAGAAAATGCTAAACATAAAAGTAAAAAACAAAGATAAATATAAAGAAAAAATGGGGATGGATATCGATAAAAGGAAAGATGAAGATAGAGGAAGAAAGATTAAAATAAAGTTAATTATAGAGAAGAGGATTTAGCTAGAGATACAGATTCAATCTGGGAACTATTACGCGACTTTAGAGTTTATCGGGATTCTCGGAACTTGTCGATATAATAATTGTTATTTTTATCGGTTTTGTTATCGATATTTTTATCGATTTTATAATCGAAATTTTTAGCGATTTTGTTATTGATATTTTTATCGATTTCGATATCGATAATGTTATCGATTTTGATATCGATACTTTCGGAACATATCGATGTAATAATCGATATTTTTTGTTATCGAAATTTTTATCGATTTTGCTATTGATTTTGTTATCGATATTTTTATCGATTTTGTAATAGATATTTTTTATTGATTTTGTTTTTGTTTTAGTTATCGATATTTTTATCGATTCTGTTATCGATATTTTTATCGATTTTGTTATCGAAATTTTAATAGGTTTTGTTATCGATATTAATTTTGGCATCGATATTTTGATTGATTTTGTTATCGATATATTTGCGATTTATTTATCGATATTTTTATCGCATTTGTTATTGATTGATTTTTTGTCTATACTGTGTTTGAATTTTTATCTATATTTTTATCGGTTTTGTTTTCGATATCTAGTGAATGTTACTATCGATTTTGTTATCGGTAGAGTATAAAGATAAAAATAAAGATAAAGGAGAACAGAATAACGTAAATGTAGTTTCAGGAAGGTTTCAAGACGAGGGCTACAATTTTCCACCCTACTGAATGGTAGCAGCGCTGACAGTAGTTAATAAGACGAACCCGAGACCCCAGTAGATGACCATGGAACCGATGTCCCACGGCCTGACTATGACGAGGTACGAATAGCGATTATGCGGCTGAAAAACAACAAAGCTGCTAGAGCTTAAGGCCTGCCAACCGATCTATTAAAGTGCGGCGGCGAGACATAAATAAATGTGCGTTAACGTATCAGCTGACACGATTAAACTTATAAGAGCGCCATGTAAGTGAAAACTAGGTCTTTCATCCTGAGTTAAAATCATACCTCTCCCAAAAATGCTATTGCATTTTGCAAGATAAATACATAATTGTTTCAAAATTTAAATTTTGTGAGAAAAAGGAATCAAAGTTTGATCTATTCAGATAGCTGGTATAGAAAGAGTCA